ACACGTAATTTTGACAGGGGACAATAGCTAGCGTGTGAGTCACTAACCTGGTTATTCAGTCCGAGCCCAGAGGAAGGAATGGAATCTAGCCTTATGATTTTATCACAGTATGCGGCAGAAGCTTCCTAGAGAGTCCCAGGTCTTGAAACCAAAGGTGCTGCAGAGAAGGCCAATGAGTAGGAGCCAGCATAAAAAGAAGAGCAGAAGTACCCGGAAAGAAAATCCAAAGCTGTGTCAATGAAGAAGCAGAAGTCCAGGCCAGAAGGTCAGAGATCTGATGAGGTAGTTTGGTAGTGTAACTGCTGAGACACAGTTAAACTACCATTTAATTAACATCCTCTTCATCTTCGTCCTTATAACCAAGAACATCATCATCACCTTTGAGTTGAGGTATCCAAGCCGGGGTCAGGAGACAGATCCAAGGTCGTTAGCAGGCAGAATCCAAATGAAGTCCAAAAACTGGTCAGGCAAACAGATCTGAACAGGGGCAGGCAAACTCAGAGGTCCAAGGTCAGAAATTAGGAAGGATCAGGTAATCAGAATAACACACTGAGTACTATAGAGAACTCTCACCCATGGCTCGAATAATCTGGCACTGGCAGGAACTGGAACAGGTGGACCTGATAAATAGAACTGGGCAGAGCTAAACAGGTGAATAAACTAAACCAATAATCCAGTCATGTGTCAAGATCATGACAGTTTGCCTGAATCAACTTTCCAAGTTTTATAGCCGAGTATCAGGGATTACTATTTTTTCTGTTTCCTTTCAAGTTAAAATGAAATCTGGTTTTGCTTAGTTTTCTCACAAACCTCTTTATGGTTTGGCATCCCTGTGGAAAAAAATGTAGATGGGTTTATTCATTCAGATCTATTGATAAACAGCAAATCATTGACCATTAAAAACTGAAATCAAAGTGAAACATAGGCAAAAAGAATATTACATTTATCTACTTGTTTTTACATAAGCAGAGGCGGTCATAGATTCAGGAAAGAAACCTCCACCCTGAAACACTGCAGTTCATCCTCTAACAGTAGAGCAGATCTTTAAACTCACATGGAAACTGAGAGGCATCATTCAGCTTTAGTCTGCATGAAGACAATCATTTCTGTTGTTTATATGGACTCAGCATATGATAATCAACACACTTTGATCAATGACAGGTTAATACTGAAACATTTCAAATCCAGGCTTTGAAAATTGAAAAGAAGTCCAGCAGGAAATCAATATTCCAGAAAAAGAAGCTACAACTAAAAACATCTGGTTTGTTTTTCTCACAGACCTGTTAGCAGATGAAAGGTATATCAAATTAAGACAGCATTTCCTTTGATATGTTTTCATAGGACAATTTCTTTGATCAGGATTTCATCAAGGGATTCAGTAAGAAGCTGAATCAGATGAGACTGAAATGATTTTAGAGTCAATAAAATCCTTCAGATCTTTTGTTCAACCAGAGAAACTGTGTGTCTTAAGCAGCAGGAGGAGGAGCTTGTTTTTGCTCAGAGATTCAGGGAGAAGCTGAGTTGTTGAAGAGACACAAACTTCCACATTCAACACAGTTCAAACATTAACTCTGATCATCATGGACTATTGTGGACTTTCTCTACTTGTTGTCTCACTTCTAACAGGTCAGAATGAATCTAGATGTTTGCTATGTTTTATCCAAAGTGCTGTTAAACATGGTCCACTCTAAAACATTTGTTGATAACAGATTTGTCCTCCAACAGGCGTCCAATCTGATCTTCTGGTCCCAGTAAAGAATGAAGAGTTCAGCCTAGAAAGCAGCTCTGTAACTCTGTCCTATAATTTATCTAGAGAAGTTCTCAGCAATGACTATTTCTTCTGGTACCACCAGTATCCAGGAGAACCTCCAGAGCTCCTGGTCTCTCACTCTCCTTCAGGAGTTGAAGGAATTAAAAATGTTCCTGAACTGAAGATTGAAGTGAGCAAAACCCAGATGGACCTGCTGATCTCCTCTGCTGCAGTGACAGACTCTGCTGTGTACTACTGTGCTGTGAAGCCCACAGTGACAGGAAACACCAGAACTCTGTACAAGAACCTGCAATACTCCACAACATCCACTAGAGGGCCTCACACACTGTTCCTCCTCTATGGTTTGTTAGGATTCAGTCTGATTGTTTGTGCAGCTGAGAATAAAGCAGACATCAGAGTGTTTGCTGCATCATTGAACTCTATGATGAGAAGGTTTGGATCATAAAGGAGGGATGATGGAGGCTCCAGGATGGAAGTGCAGCCTCTGCAGGACATCAGCACATCAGATGTGTTTCAGTCCAGTCCTGTCCTGCTGTCAGACCACTGATCTTCTACACAGAGATTTATGTCCACAGGCTAAAACCTTGTGATGCATTGAAGTACACTGAATGATACATTCAGGTACATATTATCCCCAAACAATGAGACACTGCGACAATTCTATAAAAAACATAGAAACACAGTTACACAGTTATAGAGCCTTACAACTTATCTATTTTTTCATTTTGTTAAATAATCAAATATACCATACTGTTACAAAAACACTTTAAACAAATAAGTCTAAATTGTTGTCTTTTTAATTAAAGTAATAACTAATTCACACTTAACTGAGAATATTTTTCTGCACCATCTTTGAATAATTAATAATTCAGCTCATAATGGCCCAAACTGACTGTCCAGCACCACGGAGAGCAGCAACAGAGAGTCCAGGTGGATATTAGAGTGGAAAGTTGCTGATGTTCAATGTTCAGCAAGACTGTAGATGCTGAGATACAGTTAGACTACCATTTTATCAACATCCTCTTCATCTTCGTCCTCATAACCAAGAACATCATCATAACTTCTTAGTTGACCATCAGAGAGCTAACCCTGGCAGACACAGCTCTCTACTACTGTGCTCTGCAAACACAGTGATACAAAGTGTAGAAGAGGCTGTACAAAAAGCTGAACACTGATATCTGACTCCTCTTCAAAGAGGAGGGAAGTGGTATTCAAAGCTCAGCTTCATATCAGATGGATTCTGCTAATTCCTGTTTGATCAGAGTCACTGTGGTTACAGCTGCTAATCAGACACTGTGGGAGGATCCACAGGAGCAGAGTCTCAGCAAATCTACCACACTGACAGAGGAGGGAAATCTAACATTTAAAGAACCTAAATATCTTCTTCCCATTTGTTAAGGTCAGGTATGTCAAATGACAGTATTCCCAGAGACCATGCAGATCCAGACCTCCTCTGTTTTAGTCTCATAACGGTCAGAGTTTGTGTAGAGATCTGCAATACAAATGGGCCGGGAGCATGACTCGTCCTCAACACATGTAAGGATGTGTCCCTGATCCTAACCTAAACCATACTGTGATGATCTTCTGTTCTGGAATTTTGGTATATGTTCAAGTTTTAACTTTGGCTTTGAATTATGGTTTGATTCATGGTGTTCTGTTTTTCTTGTTAAGATTTATCAGAATTTGAATTCTTACAGTGGAAACGCTTTGGGCACCAGAATAGCGCCTACTGCTTCATTTTTGAAGCTTGTACACATTCAGGTCAGACCTGCTTCAGGAGCATCTCTGATGTTCCGGAAGCACATCCAGTAAAGTGTGTAGAGATGCATCTGATGCTTCTGCTGCTACTGTAATCAATGGCTATCTTGATCTTGGCACTGATTGCTGGATTTGGCTATTTGCTCCTATCTGCTTAGCTCTGCCCAGCGTTCATTCTCACTCATCAGATTCACCTCTTCCTGCTTTTAGGGCACCAGTTTCCAGCCATCAGTGCCAGATTATTCTAGCCAAGTGTGACATTTTTTGAGCTATCTGTGAGTTTCTGATTATTTAATCCTGACAAGTTTCTGAGTTATGGTTTCCCCTGTTCTGCTCTGTTTTCTGATCTGCTTTTGGACTGTTACCTGGATACCTGCTAACGGCTTGGATATCCCTCCAGCACCTCTTCGTAGTTCTGATCTTCTGGCCTGGACTCTGCCTTCGGAATATCCCCTCTGGATTCTTCTGCTCCTCTGCTTGCTCTGGCTGCGGCTCATGGCTCCTCTTCTTCGCTCCAGGAACTCTGGAAGNGAAGCACATCCAGTAAAGTGTGTAGAGATGCATCTGATGCTTCTGCTGCTACTGTAATCAATGGCTATCTTGATCTTGGCACTGATTGCTGGATTTGGCTATTTGCTCCTATCTGCTTAGCTCTGCCCAGCGTTCATTCTCACTCATCAGATTCACCTCTTCCTGCTTTTAGGGCACCAGTTTCCAGCCATCAGTGCCAGATTATTCTAGCCAAGTGTGACATTTTTTGAGCTATCTGTGAGTTTCTGATTATTTAATCCTGACAAGTTTCTGAGTTATGGTTTCCCCTGTTCTGCTCTGTTTTCTGATCTGCTTTTGGACTGTTACCTGGATACCTGCTAACGGCTTGGATATCCCTCCAGCACCTCTTCGTAGTTCTGATCTTCTGGCCTGGACTCTGCCTTCGGAATATCCCCTCTGGATTCTTCTGCTCCTCTGCTTGCTCTGGCTGCGGCTCATGGCTCCTCTTCTTCGCTCCAGGAACTCTGGAAGCGGCTTCCGCTGCAAGCTTTCTTCTGCTGAGACAGAATTTTACCAGGTTAGTGACTCACACGCCCATTAACTTTTCCCGTCTGAGATCTGAAGTCACTAACCTGAGTGCCCTTCTTTGCAGAGTATCCAGAGAACCTGTCCCTTCTGACGAGCAGGGTCATGCTGATTTATTTAATAAACGATTGTTTAGCAATTACCCTGATCTGTTATGATCCTGCCTTAACATTTTATTTTGCTGTCGTAGCCACTCAAATCCCTGCATACCGGTCGTCGGCTGTCACAGGGAATCCCCAGCAAAAGTTGGGGTGTTTTTGATACTGTTTATCAGGGTTGGAAATAAATTTCTGCGCTTTTCAGGTATATGGTACAAACTGCAGGCATCAGAATAGTAAAAGCAAACATATTATGCCAGCAGGTCTCGATATTTTAAGTTAATTTAGGCGTTAATAAACTGTTTAAGAGGAGGGATCATAGTGCTCTCCATCAGCAGTACTGTGTCTGACTCCCTGCCAGCTCCCCGATCATCTTATCTGGTTGGTTGATGTGACACATAAAGCAGCAAAAATGAAATTTTTCCAACTTCAGCATCTGCTGCTTGTGAAGCACGTCATGCGCCTCAGATGCTCAGAAGCTGCTTCAGCTGCTCAGATTCGTGAAGATGCGCTTGTCCTGCTGCTCTAGACACACTGAAGGACCTTTTGATGTACCTTGATGCACATCAACCATTGACTTTGCATGTAAGCCAGCTACTTCTGCTGCTTCAATCACATGTGGTGTGAACAAAAATCACAACTCCTCCTTTGTTTTTGTTTATTTTCAGTTTTTTTTGCTCAGCTTTTTCATGATTTATTTAGTCTTATTTTATATTTTCATTCTTTTTTTTGCATTATTGTTATCTCGAGATATCTTCATTTGCTCTCAATCT